CATTCCTTATGAGTAAGCTGTTGCTCTTCACGGTCCAGACTTTGAGCAGTGAAGTTACTCTGCTGTGCTCTGTAACTATGAAAGAGAAAACTGTGTCCCCTTCCTTGCTGAGCAGAGGTGTGTGATATGTCTAGCAGATTGGATGACACTAGACATGCAGTCTGTTTACATTTGACCACCCCATAGAGAACAGTGGGCTGTGTCTGTGATTGCCCACTCTGTACAAATGGAGCGGACACAGACCTGTCATCCACCTGCTCAGCAGGGATCAGTGGACAGATCCTCCTCTGAGCAGGCAGATCTGCATGATGGAGTCCACCAGTGTGAAAAGGCCCTTACACAGATGTACTTCAACTGTGAATGTGACATTCAGACCAATAAAACAAAGTTTTGTGATTTGTAGTTTTGTAAAAAGTTAAGAAGCATCTTACATTTAAAATGTAAAGTATAGTGTAACTTCCGAGCATTTGTGTTTACTCTTCCAGAATTATTTTATTATATTACATAGTACATAGATTTGTACAATGTAGGTTAACCAACAGAGGAAGCAGATCCTCATTTTCTCTTACAAAATGAGTGAGATAAGCTATCAGCCACACAAAGATGGCATGAGATCACATGAGCAGGCTGACTTCTGGACATGCACTGTAAGGAGTAAAGCACAAACACCAAGGAACCTGTGTATGTAATGTAAAAAATAAATAAATAAATGGATGCAACTATTAAGATATACAATAACAAAATATACATAGAAACAAGGTTTTTAATATATTGACACAATGAAAAAAAATACATCCAGATTATTATTTACATGTGTATCATAAAAAGAAAAACACTGAAAGGACTATACATTCACTTGCAGAACGTCTGTATATTCATGTTTTAGTTACATGAAGTGAGGCATGATTTGTTCTCACACCAGGAAGACCTATATTTATCTATTCTCTTGGATGGACTTCATAGTCATGGCCACACTATGTCCAAGTTCCTGCCACCTCCTTGGGAGCAGATTCTTATTTACCCCTGTGGATAATTCAGTGCATAATTTCCATATGACAAATGTTTTTAGTGAATAAAGAATCCACTCCAGTAGCAAGGGGAGGAAGGATGTTTGACTAAATTTATTTACCTGGATCTTGGATTGCAGTAAAAACCCTGAAAAGGTACTGAACTCTTTCCCATTTTACTTGCCATAGAAAATTGGAGTCTATGTTAACATAAATTTGTCAGAAAAGAAAAGAAAAAAAAAAAAAAAAAAAAAAAAAAAAAAAAAAGAGTTTCCTCCACTGTGTAAGAGAACATAGTGCTCACATTTATCTTGTGTAACATTAAAATATTGGAAATATTGTGCTTCTGCAAATCAAAAGCGCCCTTCAATCTGGTTTTGTATTTCTCTACAAAATAATCATATTCTTAAAACACTTAGAGCACAAGTATCCAAAACCTGTGACTCAAACTGATAAAGTCAACACTGTGAGCCAATCAGACTCAGGTACATGGCACAGTAATGACAATTTAACACAGGAAGCCTAAGTACAGCATGGCAGAATATAGTACAACACAACAGTCCCCCCCCCCCCCCCGTCCATTCAGCAAGTTGGAGCCAGGGAAGTGACAATTTGCATTGCTTACAACAAATAGAGAAAAATGGGGTCAGCTACTTGACTTGACAGTGTAGGAGGTGTGTGTGTAAATTACAAAACAAAATTACATATCTTTTTGACAGTAACACAGGGATACAGTGGTAATTAAATCTCTATGCCACAAGGAGAATTAACAACTTTTTGGTAGCCCCCTGCTATGTAGCACACTGAAATCAATGAGTTGCTAATAAGATGAATGCTAATGTGTAGTTGAAACGCTTCATAGCACAGAGATGTCAGTTGGAGCAACAGGTTCACTATAGGGCCTATTTCACATCCATGCATTGTGGCAACACAGGTTGCTGTAATGCATGGGAACACACCATACATGGTGCCATTCATTTTCAATGGCATCCTACAGAAGAGAGAGGCATATGCTTCTGGGGATAAGAAGATTAAAGCAAATCTGTAGCTTTGCCTTAGATAGGTAAAGCTCAGGTTTGCTGTAAGCAGCTCACAGAAGTATATTTCACTGCTTTATGTTAAAAGTGTCTAATATCATTCATAGGTAGCCAAATGTGCAAATAACATTTGAAAATCAGTGCTGTATTCCCTATTGTGTATAGTAGCTACACTATTTAAGCAGGAGGAAGAAGAAAAATCAGACATATTCTTGTAGATCAAGTCCTCATGCCCACTGTGCATTTTAAAAACGCCATTAATGTTAGCTGTATAAAGTCACGTTTATTTGCATTTTTACATTAACGTTTAGCTGCGTTTTTTCATGTCTGCATTTTTTTTTACCACAGTAACCCCCCCCCAAAAAACATTTTGGCTCAAAAAAAATGCCCAAAAAAACGCCGACTCGCCGTGTTTTGCTGCTTTTACCAGTGTTAAGAGTGTTTTTACAGTAACAAATTCCTCTAGAAATCCACCAGTTTTTTTTTTTTCCAGCCAAAAAAATGCTGATTAAAGCCTATGTGTGCATGGACACATAGGATAACATGCTGGGGAGTTCACTGGCTGTAGAAAAAAAAAAAAACGCCAAAAGCCAAAAACAGCAACTGTAAAGCGTGCATGAGGACTAATAAATATGATGTAAACTATACCACCACACAGTTGTGATAAAATTCCTGAAATATTTTCCTTATCACTTATTTTTTACTAAAACACTTTTATACAAACCAACTTATAATAAACATTTGTTCATTAAAAGAAAAATTACTTTAAATACAAACTAAATCTGTACCCGCCAGAGATTAGATACACAATACAATAGCAACATGTTCTACAAGTGCATCTTTAAAGAACAATGAGGCAAACATCAACTAAAATGGTAAACCAGGCTTGCAGTAGTGCCTGCTATGTAAGCTGATGGCACACAGGAGGGTTTTTATAAGGGTGAGAATCACAGATGCAAAGATGTTCATTAGTGGTCCAATAAGCAGTGGCACAGAGTTCTTTGTGTCCTTGCAGAGACCTATGTAATAAATACATGTGTCTCTGCATTTGGTATGAATAAGACCATAATATCCTATGCAAGTCAAATCTGCATATTTTTTCCATCAGTTTTTCTTTTTGTATGATGTCAGCGAGGCCTTAATATTAAAGGCAGCCTTTTTTTAAGCACCATGTATTTTCTCAGATCACATAAACACAGTTTCAATCATAGGCCTAAGTACTATGGGAAACAGCTGGAATGTGCCATTTCGTACGCCAGACATGCAAATAACATGTAATCTCGAAGAAAAATATAAGACTTACAGATGTTTAAATCTATCTGGGGCCAATGCCACCAGGAGTCTAAAGAGACATTTTATAATGCACCCATTTTTAGAACATTCACTATTGTATATTCCAAAAACCCTAATTTTAGAAAGAACCATTATATATATATATATATATTTTTTTTTTTTTTTAAGCTGGAGTGGGATGGCTTTTAATCCCCAACAAGGTCTTTACAGCTCTTAATAGCCCTAGCAAGGGATCTCCTTCTACTCGACAGCTCTTTGATGCCACCAATCCAAGTGGATTTCCTGTATATTCCTATTGAGTTCACTTCAGAATGTAAAGAGAATCTTAGGTTGCTTTGCACTGCTCCCTTTGGTATGAAGAACTAATGTTGGCAAGTTAGCTACTCTACCCAAAATAAATTTATGAAAAAAAGAAAATCAAAGGCAACACCTACTAAGTATACTGGCACTTAACCTCCCCCAAAAAGAGGTTCATAACACTGAAGTGTGATAGGAAAGTGTGTATCCACTAAACGTTGTTACAACGCAGATTGATGAAAACTGGGAATTATGGGCTTTTGTGGAATGCCCCACTTTAAAGGGTAAAAGTGTGAAAAAAAAAATAACATACAATTACTTCACAAGCTATGTTTGAAAAGCAAAGGTAATTTTTAATAAAATTCAATTCTATCAGCAGGGCTGTAATTTTCTGTATAATTCAATGTAATATGTCAACTTGGAGGGGTTCTGTACAATGTTGGTGTACGGAACGCCCCCCAGAAATGTAATTTGCTTGTGTGATTGGCTCACTGATTTTCCCAAAAGTCTGCACTAAAATAAGTCAGAATTTAGGCATTTTTTGCAACAAAAAAGTATTTTTTGGTGAGATACTGCCAAAGTGTTTCACTTCTAAAGGGATTCAGATCCTGCAATTTCCTCATTAAAACACTGCAAGTGCATCTGTTGACTGATATTTAAAAAGTCACTCCCATTGAGATTCACTTTGCACGCTGACATAACCACACAGTTTTTTTCTTCAGTGCAGAAACATGTAGAAATCTGCAACAATCTTTTTAAAATCCTTGCAATGTACATCCAGAGGGTCTGGATTTTTCTTAACAAAAGTGCAATTACTCCTACCTTTTCATTTTTAAAAGGGATAGTTTACATCCGATATGTCGGTTGTAGGTAGCATGCGGTAGCCAAAATTATTTGTTTTTTTATATCTCTTGAAGCTCCAGTTGTGGAGTCAGCCAGAAATATTTCCCAGCTTTATTGCACAGGGACAGTAAGTGGAATAGGTACGTAGGCCTGGGAGCTCCACTGTAGAGCTCTCACCACTCTATTTCCCAAAAATGTCAGTAGATGGTTCCATAGACAATTCTGCTTAGACTAAAATATAAGGTGGACTGCCACTTTAAATAATTTTATACATCTCCGTGACTTAGGGACTGATTTCTATAAAGCATGTTCATAGACTTCTATTATTATGCTAAACAATAAAAGGAAAACTGTCAAAATATTATTACATCAAGATTTTATCGAATCTGAAAGAACCTAAAATAAATACATTCGTGAGACAGTGATGGTGCAAGAGTGTACATTTATAAAAGAGTACATTCTGATCTCTCAGCTTCCACCTTTCCCCTGTACCTGCAGATATCTTGAGGGGAAACATCTGCCTTTACTGAACCACATACAGAGTGGAGTTAATATGACCTGGATGAGATTCTGGTGCTATCAGCTCCCACAAGGTCACGTAGGTTCCAAACACAAAACCCAGGAAGCCCACCAGGCTGATGAAAACGTCTTTGGCTATGATCCAGCGGCTGAGACCTTCTGAGTAATATGTGACAATCTCTAGAAGAGGTGGGATTATCAGAGCCAGAGCACTGCTACTTACAGATCCCACCAATGAGATGACAATGTCCAAACGAGGGATGAGGATGGCCAGGACACCTGCCAAAAGATACAATCAATCATCATCTGAATATGCAGTCTTTTAAAAAAAAAAAAAATTAAAGCTGAATTTATGCATCTCGTGTTTCAACTTTCCAGCATCTGCCAAAAGATAAAATATCGACTTTTTTTTATATTTACTTTTTCCACAACATACAAAAAGCTGGCCAAACAAGAGGTAACTTCCACCACTTCCATCAACTGGGTATGGAATATATACTATATATGATCAAAAGTGGTGGCTTAAAAAGAAGCAATTTACTACCTACAAGTCTGAACAGTCAATACAATCTTGCCGGGCTATATATTGCCAGCTTAAATGCAAGTTATTGAAAGAAAAATCAGTGAAAACCAGAAAAAAAACTACAGCAGTTTTGTCAAACTCAATCTGATTTTTCTGCTGGGTTTATTCAAGGCAATTTTAATCCCATCTTGATGCAGTTGAATGAAAATACATTGGATCATTCAGGGTTCCATCACAGAATCACAAAGCTGCTACCTTCTCTGTGGCCACATTCAAAACGTAGTTTATAGAGATACTATTCATCTGTAGGTGCTCCAAAATTTAGCTGATTAAAGTAGAACTATAGCAAAAAAAAATTTTTTTTTTTTTTTGGATAGAGTGTGGGAGCATTATAACCCATCAGTTTATTTTTTGCCATCGGTGGTCTATTGGGGAGATTTACTTTCACTTCCTGTCCCACAGCCAAAACAGGAAGTGAGAAGAAATCCCTCAAATTAAGGGGATTCTTTGGGGACCCCCAGGTCACCAGAACTAGTGCCCCCATTGGAAGATTCCCCCTCTATTACTTTTTTGGGGACAACCCAAAATTTGGGGCTTTCTTTACGTTCACTTTTGATAATGGTAAACAGGACAAACAGAGAGGTATAAAAGAAAGAGAAAGGTGCGCCAGACTAAGTGTAGTACAATTATAACAGTTTATTGCACACCAAATTAAAAACTAGGTATCAGGCATCAAATATGGTAGGAAGAGGAGGACATCATCTATGCTGCACATCATGGGCGGATGGCTACAGTGCCAGGGTATTCAGCGGCTGACGATCTAGGCGGGTCCCACGGAAGGAAGCGAGGACGGCAGGCGCCCCCTTGGACGATTTTTAGCAACGTCCTGACGTCACTTCCGCCCGGCGGCCATCTTGGATGCACCTCAAGCTGGCCCACCTATACACGCTGATGTGAGAGATCAGCAGTGCCTGCCCTGGATAACGGTTCTCCTCTGCGCCGCAACTCCCGGCTACTGCACCTGCCGTCCTCGCTTCTTTCCGTGGGACCCGCCTAGAGCGTCAGCCGCTGAATACCCTGGCACTGTAGCCATCTGCCCATGATGTGCAGCATAGATGACGTCCTCCTCTTCCTACCATATTTGATGCCTGATACCTACCCACATCTTGTGAGTTTTTAATTTGGTGTGCAATAAACTGTTATAATTGTACTACACTTAGTCTGGCGCACCTCTTTGTTTTATTCTTCTACTACAGAGTCCGGTTTACTCTGGAGAGTGCAAGCCTCACGACGGTGTCAATATTACAGCTATATATATATATATATATATATATATATATATATATATATATATGTATGTATGTATGTATATACACACACATATATATATACCACCCATTTTAATCCAGTATTGTTTGTACCACATGCCCCTCCTTTTCCCTCTCCTCCCCCCCCCCTTTTTTTATTATTATTAAGACTTTTTGAGTGAACTTTATACCCACCATGATCTCTCTTGCGCCAATTACATTTCTGCTTCAAACAGAGAGGGTGAATCTCCCTGACCGAGATACAGACAGCAATAAAAACCTAATCGGTGTTCTAATCTATCTCCACTCTATTCCAAAAAAAAAGTTTTGCCTTTAGTTATACTTTGAGCCTAATGCTTTATTAAATATAACAAAATGTGTCTGTAAATGTAGTCTAAATGAAATGTGTGTTATAAAATGCTGAAAATATCATTTTAACCACTTAAGGTGGCATAGAAGTGTTATACATAAGAACAGTTATATAAAACCATATTTTATATTCTTCTCTCTCGTTAATGGAGTACTGATACTATCAATTTAGCTAAACACAGGGACATATGGGGGCTGCTGTTCAGGAAATGTGGGGACTGCCACTTACATCTTTGGAAAAAATGCTAGTTGTCTGGTTGTCTTTGGTCTGACAATTCCTAAATTTATCCAAAGCTATTAGATTAACAAAACCACAAGAAAACTAACATTTTCAGGAGTAGAGATTAGCGATAGAAGCCTATGCATATCTCTTGGTACAGGAAAAATCAAGAGTAAAGCGGCCATACATGGGTCAAATTCCGAACAAATTTTCTTTGGAAAATTGTACCTAAGAATTTTAATCCGCATTTTGCAGCATTGGTGGGCCGCAGCAACGGTCGATTTTTCTGCGGCCATTGAATTTGAGTGATCGGTCATGTTGGAAACTTTTTGAAAAAACAAATACATTTCTAAACAAATGATGGGAGAATCGTAAGAGAAATATAAATCAAATAATAAATGAGCATGAGCTGTGACCTGGGAAAAAAAATTTAGATTCCTGGCCATGAAAATTCTTTTCTGCAGCAACAGAAGGTGAAGTTGAAGGCTTGGTTGGTCAAATTTCAAAATCAATGGTGGCACCATTGGATTACGCAAAGCACAACATTTTTAAAGAAAATGAAACCGGAATTTGTCCCATGTATGGCCTGCATTAAAAGGTAAAAGAAGGTTCTACCTGACTACAATAGTGAGCTTCAATTTTATACACATTGCAAAATTGAATCAGACTTTAAGGATTTGGAGTAAATTGTGACTTTAATACTTTAATTGAGACATGTTCTATTTTTTTACAGAAGAAAATAACAGGAAAAAATAAACCAGGTCTTGACATGAAGTTCTCATAATCCAAAAGTCCCACAGGGAGCCTGAAAGTAATTAAGTGAAATGGGCTTAGCAGGTAATGCACATGGTAAGGAAACATCCTGCCTCTACCTAATGGACAGAGGTGGTAGAGGTCACAGCCCAGACCAGGTGGGGGGGCAACTCCCAGGAGAATAAAGCTTCTGTATACTCAAGGTATACTACTGCTTGCAATCAGTTAATGCAAAACTGGCAGCATCACTGCCGACACCTGAAACTGTGGAATTTTAGGACTGCTGTTCTTAATACATACTAAAATAAAGAGTATGCTAGATTTTAAGAAAGGATTAAATCAACAAATGATACTCCGCTGACAGCATGAAAGGACCATACAGTTCTCCAGTGCTATTTGGGCAACCTTTATTTTCATGATAAATGTCAATTTGCTCACAAACATTTAAAAGACAATGTGATACCATTGCTTGGTCTAAAAGAAGTTATTAATGAAAATTGTATGGTTTAACCACTTGCCCTCCAGAGGATTTACCCCCCTTCCTGACCAGGCCATTTTTTGCATTGCGGAGCTGCATTACTTTAACGGACAATTGTGTAGTCATGTAACGTTGTACTTAAATGAAATGTATTTCCTTTTTTCCCCCACAAATAGAGCTTTCTTTCAATGGTATTTAATCAACTCTGAGGTTTTTTTTTTTATATAAACCAAAAAAGATCAACAATTTTGAAAAAAACAAAACAAAAAAACAAACACTTACTTTGTGCTATAAAACATATGCTATAAAAAATGTAAAAATTAAATGTCGTCATACATTTTGGCCAAAATGTATTCTGCTACATGTCTTTGCTAAAAAAAAAAAATTCCAATATGTGTAAATAAATTGGTTTACGTGAAAGTTATAGCGTCTACAAATGGCGGTATATATACTGGAATTTTTATTTTTATTATACTAGTAATGGCGACAATCAGTGACTTATAGCGGGACTGCGGCGGACATTCTGACACTTGGGGGAATTGATTAACTGCCACTGACATCCCCAGTGACACTAATACAGTGATCAGTGCTAATAAAATGAAAAGGGGTTAACCTTTGGGCTATCAAAGGGTTAACTGTGTGCTGTTTTACTAGGGAGGCATGCTGCTTTGTATTTCTCTGCTGTGCAAAGAAATACAAAGCAGCATGTTCTTGCTGGCAGGAGAGAGATCTGTGTTATTTACACACGGGTCTCTCCCGTCAGCTTTGCATGGCGATCGCTGGGTACCAGCAGGGAATCTCCGGCCAGGACCTGGTGATTGACATGCGTAGCCAGCAATGGAAATGAAAATCATGTAGATCTACACGTGATTTTGCGCAGCCCTGCCACCCTGTAGCAGTATTTCTATTATAGGGTGGCGGGCAACCAGTTAAAAAAATTAATTGAAAAAAAAAAAAAAAAAAACATAAAACAGTGCAAAAACATCAATAATAAAAGTGTCCACAAAGTAATTGTGTCATAAATGAATATAAGTGAGTATAAATAAATAAAAAGTCCTTCTTCCCAAAAGTGTATAATAAACACAACAAACAATTCTTCTCCCAAAGAAATAGTGCTTCCACCATCCACCAGTGACAAATCAACATCAACCGCAATACGATCTACGTCACTTCCGGTGAGTGGAACGCACGCGGAGCAGTACGTTCCAAGCGGCCATCTTTGATGTTGGAATACCTGTTATCCTCTGCAAATTGCAAGGCTGTGAGGTTCCTGCTTGTACTGTGGATTTATGGATCTGTGTGAGCCTATGAGGCTATTAAACAAATGCTTTTAACCTTCCTTTAACATGAGAGTGGCCTGGTGGTATTATTTTTATGCTGAGTGTTACTGGTAGTATTACACTATGGTATCTCTTTCTCTTGTACTGTTGGGGAGCTCCTGAAGGAGTGAGTTGGAGGAGAGCAACATATCAGTCAAGGTGGATAAAGAGATCTGGTGAACTTAGAGGGGGCATAGGATCCCTAAAATCCTAAAAGGCGCAATACTCACCAATATCTGGTGAGTGCGGTTGATGTTGATTTGTCACTGGTGGATGGTGGAAGCACTATTTCTTTGGGAGAATTGTTTGT